TTAGACAGCTGGAGAGAAGCACCAGCACCCCTCGCCCCCCCACTAAGCTCGTCTGAAAATGGATGATGGATTTATTGTTTATGGTTTCACTTTTTAAATCAAATCAGAACCTTTTTTTTTAATCTTTCATAAGCAACTAACGCCATGCAGGTCAGCGTCAGGAGGATTTATCAGTCAGTTCAGTTTGTAGTATTTCTTAAGGAAGACTCTTTAAAACCACATCTGTTTTCAAGGATGTTTTTTTTTCTGATTTTGCATCAAATTTCTGTGGTTATTTATCTGTTGACCTATTTTAAGTTTCGTTTTTACTCACTGTGCACCATGACAAGGTGCTTTAAACAGTTTTCTTTGAAATCTCAAGAAGTAAAAAACACAACAGGCTCTATTAGGATGTGTTTTGCAGCTCTTTGAGAAATAGTTTTATATTTATAAATGTAGTGCAAAATGATTTATGGAACTGAGTGAGCAGCCTTTTCACTCAAGGTGAAATTATCTTTATTTCTTCTGGTTTCTGATTATCGTTCTTTTGGAAGCAGCAGGATGTTGATACAGATTAAGTAGATGGCTTCAACTAAAGGCAGGGGATTGTTGAGATGTACTTTGAAAATGCAAAAATTAACTGGGGTCAGTAAAATTTCTTCTATATGAAGCTTTTTTTAAGCTTGTCTTTATATCTGACTTCTCTCCCATGTGGGTACACTACATTTAAAATGACACGGTATTTAACAGGGCACACTAGAGCTGCTGCACCATAGTATCACGCCACTTTAGGGGAAAATACTGGGCCTGAACTAGATGCGATGCAGCTGCTGTTCTCAGGCATTAAGCTTTTCTTAAAAATTAACTAAATCTGACACCTTTCCCAGTCAGAAAACACATTTGTAGAACCTAAATTCAGTTGTGAAAAAAACAGTCGCTGTTACTGTAGAGATTAGCTGCTAAAAGGGTCAGTCCTTTTTAGCTTTGAAATGATTGAGCTCTGCTTTGTGTTATCGCTTGCTGATTGGACAAAATAAACATGTTTTTCACTGGGCAGCCGCAGTTGGTTTAATTTAATTAAGTCTATTTATATGGCGTCAATTCACAACACATGTCTTCTCAAGACACTTTACAGTTCGCCAGATTATACAGTCAAATTGATTCAAAGTTTTCTATCTAAGGAAAACCAGCTGATTGCATCACATGCATGTAGTGACAGTGGAAAGAAAAATTCCCTTTTAACAGGAAGACAGATGCAGTAGCAGCTTCCTAGATGGGGCAGTAATCACTGCTCTCTGACGGTGATATTCACTCCTTTTCCCAGAAATGGAGATGCTGCTACAGAATTGACAAAGTTTGCTCAGAAATGCATTAATCAAGAGAGATATGATTTTTGGGATGATTATGATCAGGGACTAGCAATATGATGAAGTTACAGCTCAAAACATTGATTTTGCAAAGAAATAGACCAGGATTGTGAAACTGTAACCCTTAAAGGCCCAGTGTCCTGCAATTTTTACGTCCAACAAAACAGAATTTAATGACGGAATTACATCCTCAACATGCAGCCAATTTATATTCCTGATAATGACCTGATTATTTGAAACAGGTGTTTTAATATAGCGATATAAATCTAAAAGGTGCATAACACCGACCCTCCATGACCGTAACCAAGCCTTTCAAACAGAAACCAGCATGTGCCGCACCCATAGGGTATGGTGTGGAACTCTATACAGCACAACAAAGGAGGAGCTGATGAAATTACAGAAGGCTAATGAGGTTTAAAGCTGTAGAATCGAGTGTATTAGAGCAGAGCTCACACTGATGTTTTTTAACAGACATCTAGAGGAAGTAGGATAAAATATCTGCAATTTGTTTTTAACGTTTCAGAGAAAGGCACTTAGAAGCCTGTTCCTTTAAGACAAGGTGACTGTATCTAGGAGGGAACAGGCAGCATTTCAACTTTGCTCTTTTTGTGCGTTACCAAAATGAATCCGGTGTTTCTCCCTGCTTCAAACGTGATGATCAAGCCTTTAGCAATACATTACGCCCAGGAATAGAACTTACGGCTCATAACAAAACCATCAAAACCAATAGGAGAGTCTGTCAGTTAATCTACTTAAAGAGAATTAGGTTTCTATTAAAGATGTATTGAACTCTCATGTTGTAAAAGCGATTGAGATTAATAACGTAGTCTTAATTCACCCATTTTTAGTTGAAAGACATTTTTTTGCCTTTTGATGACAAAAGGATTAAAACATCAAACAGAGCAGCTTTCTTGGCTAATTCAGCCATATTGACAGTAGTTTATATAAGAAAAGACAAAATGCCAGAAAATCAGAATTAACTGAATTTTTTTGACCTGTCTGAATAAAAGTTTCTTCTAGTTTTTCTAAAGAATGAACTGGAACCCCACTGTGGACATTTTCCCATCCTGACAGTAAGAACAGTCATGATATAAATGATGAGTTGCTTTGATCAGTGGACAATCTGAGGCCTGTGAAGAAGCCGTTTCCACATTGACCGGCTACTATTAGCTCAGTTGGGAGCAGTAAACAGACATTCTGCCCATCGGCGGTGCTTCATAGAGCTCTACACTCAAAGCAAAGATCTTTACCTCAAAGAGCATCGCCCCTATTTTCCATCTGAAAGCTTCTTTAGAACAATCAGTGAATGGAAAATATTCTTGCTTTTAATGCGCTGTGACTGGAATCTGCATAAGAGCAAATATTCTAGTACACATTACCCCACAGGGGAAGATTTTAAAGGGTTTCTCTACAAACTTAAAGTGACTCATGAGGATTACAGATATTGTCCAGTAAACAAAAAACTTACGTTTTAAATAAGGCATGAAGGTAAAATCTTTGTCAAAGTAAAGCACGCTGTTCTGAGACTCTAGATCAGTAAGATCTGCAATCAGGACACTAAGCTGATCGTAAGCATCACTGATGCAGAGAAGATAAAGCTGAGGTGCGGCAGACCATTTAAAACACCAGAAGTGTGTTTTAAACTGTTGCATTTTAATTTTACAGTGCAGTAAAGCATATTCTAAAAACCGAATCACATATATATGTTTACAGCGCAAACAACAACAAAACATACTGCAAACACAAAAGAGAATAGAATAGAATAGAATAGAATAGAATAGAATAGAATAGAATAGAAAATCGCTCTGTTTTTCCCCAAAGGGGAAATTCTGGTGTTTATAGCAGCGAAAAGATTATAGAAAAAATGGTCACACAAAGTGGACCTTAGAAAAAATGTATAAGAATAACATAATATAGTTAGGGTTAGGAAAAACAAAATAGACATAAAGAACTTAGATATTACCAAGAATGAATGTCTGTGGACCAGACCCTGAACAAACGGAGGACATTTGGACAAGAGAGGTTAGTTTTATTTGAACCTTTTTACTCACTTAGGGACGGATCTTCAGAGATTCTGTCAACAATGGGTGGTGAGGTTGCTCAAGGACCCAGATGCAGAGACGAGTGAAGCAGAGATGAGTTCTGAGAGGTTTAATGGCAGACCAAAGGTAGCAGAGGCAGAAATCCAAAAATCCAACTTAAAATATTAAACAAACCAAAACCATGGAGACATCAGGGTAAAAACGAGCCTGAGGAGCCGGGGAGAGACGAGCAGAGTAGACAATACAGCAACAAGAAGGAACCAGAACTGAGTGACTGCAGAGGTGGAGTATTTAAGGAGAACAGAACAAAGGATGGACTAACGAGCTGAATGAGGAACAGGTGTGGGTGGAACTGGCAAGAGGGAAACCAAGGGGAAAGAAAACAATCACAAGGGGGCGACAGAGAGTAACTAAAGAATGCTAGAATATCATGGAAAATAAAAACAAAACAACTGATAACAGAAAACTCAGAGTCACAACAAATAAGAACCGTAACAGATTCCAAATATAGAGACTAATCTGCCTGTGCAATTTTTCTACTTGCATTAAGTGGGTGTGTTTGGGTTGTTGTTTGCTGTGCAAATGTTAAGATGTTCAAACCTTTTTATAATTTTGCCCACCAGGAAGAATAGACTAGGTGTTCTACTAGCAGCTGAGAGTGGCCGTAAAAGAAAGATGAGGTTCTAAGTCATTTAGTTGGAGGTAGAAATGATAAATATCATTTAAAGAGTAGTAATTAAAATAATAACAATATTTATAGAGCTATATACAAAAATACCCTATCTCTAAAAGCTACAAACAAAAAGTAAAGGAATAAAATAATGAAAATCGCTTCAGTTAAATAAAGAAATAAAATATCATCACGTAAGAGAAATGTGTCTTTTTCTGTTGATTTAAACTCCAAGGTTTGTGTTTCTTCAAACATGTGCAAACGTATAAAACAGAGCTTTGCTTCATGTTTTGTTGAATTAAGGGAGAAAAAAAAATCTGCACTTTTCCCCCCATGTCTCTTTTCAGGCTCCTTCAATTCATTTTTTTTTCCACATAAATAGGCCCTATCTAAATCTATTCATGCTGTTTTCCTTACTTTGTCAAATGAAATTCCTAACTAGATTATTTACAGTAAAATCTAAATATGTTTGTGTTTTCCTAAGTGAAATATTAATCTAGATACTAGATCATTTTGGGCTTAAAGTGCTAAATATTTCCCGCAGCCTTCCTATTTTGTGTGATTTGTTCCAATTCTTAGCCTCCCGTCAGACACTCCGTCCTTCTATTACGATCTGCCACTTATTTTTTTACTGTTGAATTATGAAGAGTGACCAGCTTAAACTCCCTCTCAACCTTTATCTGCACAATTCTCAGAGAGAACACTCTGGGAAGCTTTGTGAGAGGTAATACAAAAGCTTCTACCACAAGGGAGGAGGGAGAGAGGAGCAGAGGAGAACCTTTGAAAAATATGCCACTGAAAATTCATCTCCCTGCCTTTCCAAGCTCCAGGGGTGCCCACTTCAAAAGCCTGGACAAAAAAGGACTTTTTAATGCATTTATTATAACACAAATAGTATAAAAACACCTGTACCTTACCTTTTGTAATGTTCTTTTTTGGCAGATCCTTGGAAACAGAAGATTAAGATCCAGCGCATGAGTTGTGAGTAAGAAACATCTATTTTGAAGTGTAAATGTCAAACCCACTTACATGTTCTTTATCCTTCTCTTCAATTTTTTATACAATGCAATGCGATCGAGTTCAAAGCACTTTGTGAATGCAGCTGCAACTGAATATATTGAGCCTAGTTCAGAAAGACAATTATCAGTTTCATCTATCATCCTCCTCTTCTTTTTACTTTATTGGGGGAACCATCAAAGAACTGCCTGTTTTTCTACACCCAGTGGGAAACAATCTTTGCTTGGTGCAAAATTCAAATACACTCTGATAGAAAAACAAATACTGCAATAAGATAAGAATGTAGAGTTGTTGCAGGTGGAGATGAAGTGGTCCACAAACGAAGCAGTGATGGTGTGTCAATGGTAGGATTTACAATAGGCTGACGCATCAATGCATGATGTTAGTGCAGACATTATAGGAGGAGTGGTGTATCACAGGAGGTAACAGGAAGTGAAACCTGAGGGATCCAAACTAGGGGAAAATATTCAGACCAAAGGAAGTTTACAAAGCATCAAAAACCTCTGATGAATGTGATAGTAAATTAGATTTTAGGTTTACACGGCACAGACTGGTTATAGTGTTTAGGTGCACAAAATAAAAGTGATATGCATTGGTATTTTCACCCATTTAGAGTAGTAGACATTCAAAGTTTCCCCACTTTCCTTGCCTGGTCCTTGCCTGGTTCTTGATCGGTTCTTGGCTGGTCCTTTGCTGGCCCTTGGCTGGTCGCCTACAATTCCTTGTTAAACATTCTTTGTACTAAAATATTCTTTTTGACATGATTTGTGTGGAGTGTCTGTCATGACTCCTGTGTAGCAGTTTTTGCTAATGTTGTTTGTTTGCACCAGAGAAAGCTGTAGTTGGAAAGCTGTTGCACTGAAGCAACTGGAGGACCATCCTCAACCTCAACCCTTCGTTCTTTCTCCTCGGTCATTGCAGTCTGTTGTTTGGTATGGATGTTTTGTTTAGCCATTTAAATCATGATGGGATTGCTTTTATAACTTCTTCAGAAAAAGTTCCAGGATGTTTGGAAGCTCTTTCAAACCATCTGTCCCGTCTGTCCAAGATCTGAACAGTATCCATTATTCTCCAGCAGTGTCTGGTTTCTCCAGCAAAAGGAATCTGAGCAGTCCTCGCTGTACTGGACTGCATAAAAAGCACCGCTCAGCTTTGTTTTGGGTGTTCTAGCTTTGGAACAACAGTTTCTATCTATTTTGTTGAGTTTGAGATTTACTGGAGATTCTCAGAAACTTCTAACACAAACAAAATTAAACCGTTCTTGTTGCTCTTTGTATTCTTTCCATTCTTCCTCTTAACCGAGGAAACATTCTCAGCTATTTTGGACCCATGAAAACAATGGATGGGCCACTGATTAGCATCTGACTTGAAATGTGCTTAGATTACAGGTTGCTCTGGTCTGTGCTGCCAGAACTGACAAAGACTCCTCTTGATAAAGGCTTGTTTTGTAGTTAACTGCATATTAATATGATTTTTCAAAATAGAGCTAAAGTACAGCATCCTTTTATAAATAAAACTTTGCATTTTCGTCCACCATCTTTACTCTGATGCTTCTAAATACAGTTTGATGCATCTAATTTTCTTCACTTCTGATTATAAATTAGGGTACATATGTGCAGAGGGTTGTCAAAATGATCACTCCTCTGAAAAGTATCGATACCCAGAAGCATAGAAGTGATGTTTGCACATGTTGCCGATTGTTAAGTTTATTTTTCTGGATTATTTGCAAATTAAAAAGATAATAGTTCAGTGAAGAGCTGGATGGTGCAGAACTGCTGCCTTGCAGTAGGAAGGTTGTGGGTTTGAATTCTGGCCTGCTGTCTTTCTACATGGAGTTTGCATGTTCTCCCGGTGAATGTGTGAGTTCTCTCCCCCACTGTCACAAACATGACTGTTACATTAAACGGCTCCTCTAAATTGTCCTTAGGTGTGTGCAGGACTGTACAGTATGTCTCTGTGTTGCCCTGTGACAGACTGCTGACCTGTCAACCATAAAATTAGATTAGATTGTTTTATATTTGGGTTATTTATTTGCACCCTTATTTAAGTATCAAGTTTGGGATAAAAAAAAGCTCTTTCTCATGTTAGTAATTAATCTGTTTGTTTTATCCCTTTTTTTAATCCAAATTGGAATTTAAGATAGTAGAGTATCAAACATTTTTCTCAGAATCAATATCCAATTGCATGATTATTATTTTCCAGCTTTTATTGTCATTCCACTGTCACACGTACAAAACGATAAAATTATCTTTCTGCATTTAACCCCTCCCCTTGGGGAGCAGTGGGCTGCCATTGTGCGGCACCCAGGGAGCAGTGTGGGGTCAAGGGTCTTGCTCAGAGACCCAGATGTCAGTCGGTGGGAGTGGGGCTCAAACCCAGAACCTCTGGATTCCAAGCTCTACGCCAGGAGTCTTTAACGTTTTCCAGGCCAAGGACCCCAAACTGATGGCGATGGAGCGGGGACCCCTGATTATATATATTGTATGAAATAGTGTTCGATCAAACTGGTCCAATAGTCACTCTATTACAGATGGAGTAATGTAACTAAAGTAATCCCTCCCTGGGATTATTAAAGTATTTCTGATTCCTGGTTGATGGGACAGGTGTTGTGAATGAAACGGTGTCCAGATTGAAAGAGCTCCTGTGTGTCTCTGAATGTGAGCATTGACTGAAAGACATCTTCTGCCTCCATTTATCTGTTTACTACAGTCTGTTGGATTCATGTTAATGTGGATTTAAAGACATTTCAATTAGTGGAAAAAATTGCAGGAGGGAAGGTTTAGGTTACAGCTATCCTATACCTGTTTCACCTCTTTTCTCTGGTTCGTTTGTCATTTATGTTGAAGACT